ACTTTGTCATTTTTATTATCAAATAGTCCTTAATTATGTATGAACTGACCCAACAACCACTTGTGTATCACTACCATCATCTGAAATGTGCATAGGGAAAAGGATCTTATTTATTTTTACTAAAGTCTTGTTGAGTTGACAAAATGGCTAATATATTCCTGCACCTCCATGATGCTCTTCTTTATTCCAGCTCAGCCATTTTTTATTCTTTTTAAAAACACAATTATTATTTTCTAAGTTAAACTTCAAAGAAACCTTCATGGCACATGCAATTGTTTTAATTTCATCACACCATTACTTCTATATCTTGACCCCCACCCCACACCCCCCCCCCCCCAAAAAAAAAAAAAACTTTCTACTATATAAATATTTCCTCATTTCATGTTCACTATCACCTCTCCACAATATAATTTTCTCTACACCCTTAGAGAAAATAAATAAATACTTCATCATGAATAGTTTTATGAGTAAACAACAATATTATGGTTACTCAAAGATGGAAATTGATGACCCTGAAGAGATGCAACATAGAAAAGCACAATTCTTGATTTACAAGTCATTAAAGAAATCAGATTCTATTAGAAAACAACCATGGCTAAAAGTGAGAGTGTGTAAGTTGAAGATCAAGATTGGAAGAAGATTAAAGAGGTTTAGAAAGAGCATATTGTTGACATTTTCTGTTACTAGAGGTGGAGTTTACAAACAATTTATGTCACAATTGAAATCTTGGAAAGGTTTGCTTAAGAGTAGAGACACTATGGTTAGTACTACTGCTACTCTTCAACCAATCTTCACTTGAAGTTGAGGTCGACTATATGAATCTCAATCTGTTCGAGAAAAAAAATTGAATGAGAAAAAGAAACAAAAAAAAAAAGGAGCAGAGCTTTTTTTTTTTTTTGGTTTATGTTTTGTTCACAAGAAAATGGTGAGACATGATTATACACATATAATATAAATACAGGGTTTCACTCTTTATGAAACTATTGATTTTCAATACAATTTTCCTCATGTTATTTTTAGAAATTTAATTCCATTAGTTTATTTTGCCCTGTTATGTTGATTTTTAATTTAGAATTGAAGTGTAATACATCAAACTAGTTCGTCAACAATAATTTCATTATAGTTCAATACAGAAGTGATTTTTTTAATTAAAATATTTATACATATTTAATAAATTTCTTAATATACCCGATACTTTCTTTTGCTCTTCTTCCTACCAAATTAAAGACACAGCAGTGGGTTTTTTTTCCCCCCTTAACCACCATTGGTTGGTCGGTCAATTTTTGGGGCCTTCTAATTTTATTTCTTTATTAGGTAAATAAAAAAAATTGGGGCATGTTGAACATTTCATTGTAATTTGTAAGTAACAGAATATGTTGGTGCCTTTTGTTTGTTAATTTGTCCCACATGCTTTAGCCCTTTTATTTTCTTTTCATGTTTGTTGTACTTTGGTAGGAACCTTGAGACAATTAGTTGGTTCATTTTTCTTAAAATCAAGACTATTAAACCATATAAGTTCACCAGTAAATTGACATATTTCGTGCCGTGACAATAAAGGTTAGTGTAATATTGACTTCTTTGAATAGCTCAAGTAGTATAGCTAAAGTTGAAACAAGAACATGGCTTCCATGATTAGTTTCAACTTGTGAAAACACATGTACCTATTCTCCAATGCTATTTTTAATTTATTTTAAGATCACATTTGGCCTTAAGATGAATTGAAGGGGGGAAAAGCTTGACATTTTTGTTAGTATAATGATACACGTTTGTACAAAAAATGAAAAATGTAACATGCTAAACATCATGAGTTGAAAGAAAAATAGAAGCAAAAAGTAAAGCATTAATAAATGTTGAGCGTGGTTGAGAATTATTTATGTCCATATAAATAAATTGACTAGTCTCGAGTGTTTGGATTAATCTTCAATATTTTATCCGACATCTATGACAGTTAATAGATATAGAAATATCGAGTAATTTTTATTGGTCTATTTTTAATCAAATAAAAAAAATCGCCTCACTCTTTTAATCCAAATAATTATTAGCTAGCCCCAGTTTAATGTCACAGCTGTTGTATCATATTTATACCACCTTCAATCCTGACATAGAATATGAAGATGCCAATATAAATTTCTCATAAATTTTAAATTTGAAATGAAAATTTATTCAAATATATCTCGTGTGAAACCAAACATATGACTTAAATTATATCAGTATATTCGTTTATTAGTTCACGAATTTAATATTTATCATTTAAAAATATATATCTACTAAATGATTTCATTATTCATATTATAATCTCAAGTATAACTTGTTCACTAATTAAACAATGATGTGTCACACTTGGCCTAACCTATTGGATGTGACTTTGAAGACCTCTTTTATTTGCATAATTAACATGAACAACGTGGGCATCCAAGAAAGTTGATAGATCATCTTCCACAGTTCACACTAGCAATACCCAATATGACCAAAAAGCTTCAAGGGCAACAAACCTTCCAGCTAAGTTTTTGGCCATTCATGAGTGTTCCTCTTCCAACACATTTGGGGCAGGGATTGTCCCCTCCCACACTCACTCTGTATTGAATCACGATTAAATTAAAATCATACATTATACGACTTATTTAAAATGACGTTTCTAATAAAATTTTCTTTATATTTAATACTCAAATCTAAACAGTCTTGTCGTCGATGTACTACAGAGTAATTATGGTGTGTCCCCTCATGCATTAATTTTGGCCTAGTGGGTACAGCCGTACACATTTCTAATTATTTACCTACTCCTTGTACATTTATTTCTATCAAACCCCATTGATACTACTCTCTTTAGTTTTAGTATTTTTAATACTACCGTCTTTGCCAAAACTATCCATAATCCATGTTCTAAAATACTCACGTCATGTGCAAGTATAAATGATGAGAAATAATTAATTATTTCCCCCTCATGTGCCACATGGGTTTAGGTGGTTTTGATATTAATGTTAAAACTGGCACCGAATCGTTTAGGAATTTTGTATTTTCATTATATACTTTATTTGTTGAATTGTTTCTCTCATTTTGAACACAACTAACAGCTTCCTAGAACTCCATAAGTTGTCAGTTGTTACCATATTGTAGGCTGCTTCATCAATTTACTCGTCCTTTATTTTAATTGGACTTGGCACTAACTAAGCATTTAAAGATTAGGGAATATTAAATGGACCGACTGGTCAAGTTTGAGACTACTGACTCAGTTAATAAACTGATCACGGTGATGTAATAATACGATTGTTTCATCCTTAATCAGATATTACGAGTTTAAGTTTTAAAATAAAGATTAAAAGTAGAGGATCAAGCCGATGTATGCCTTAACTGACTACTTTAACCTTCTGGCCCTATAATTCTCATTGGGCCGCATAGATTCGTAACCCAAAATTTCTTCCAATGGGCTTTAGCTTTTTCATGCCTTCCCTTTTCAGTGTTAGCTTTCATTCTTTTGGGTTTCTGCAATGGACATATTACCAAACAATATGTAACAACCACAGCCTGACACTAATTCTAATGATCATTGTCGAAATTAAACTTGTTTATGTCTTCTTTTATGATAGATTTATATTATTATTTATACTCGTAAAATTTTAAAGATCATTTTTTAGCCTTATAAAAAGTCTATTCATCTCAATGTGAAATTAGATATTAAGTCTAACTCAAAACCCAAAAAACTAATCAAAGAGAGAAAGATTGTTCAAGCATTATAAAAACTCTGCCCATCTCATTATCCAACGATGTGAGACTTTTGTTATTTTCCTTAGCATCTATCTCAACAAACTGCAAAAATGAGCAATTTGATATTTTTTTTCCTATTCATGAAGTGCTTTTTCTGCATAAAGTGGATGAGAAGTCCACTCAAATTAATCATAAAGACCCAAAAAGACCATCACTTTAGCTTTGTATATGCGAAAAAAAAATGTGAATTTTATACTCTTTTTACTTAGATTGTGATTAGGGATGTACAAAATCAAATAAAATAAGTAATTGAGTCAAATTGAAAAAACATCGATTAGTGATTTGATTTGGTTTAGTTTGGTATTGAAAAAAAAACGATTAGAGTTGTGTTGATTTGGTTTTAACTAAAAAATCAACCCAAGATTAAATCAATATGATATTATAAATGATTTTAAAATTTTATTTTATGCATAAAAATATTTATTTTGATATAATTTTCAAATATTTCTTATATATATATTTTTATAATTTTTATCTTTTAATAGATTATTTTAAGTTTGAAACTTAGAATTCCGAATAGTCCAATAAAAATTATAGTCCACTAATGTTGATAATTACAATAAAACTTAAATCAAAATCAAATTAATATTAATGCAAAAAGAAAATCAATTAAACACTAAAAATGACAATAATATCAAATATTTGTTCTTTAATTTTTACATTGATTTAGACAAATTAAATACATAATCTACTATTAATTTCCTTTGACATTTAATCATATAACTAATACTTATTAAACTTATGTGGGAGAAGACATAAATTATGATCATTTTCATTATGACTTGTTAATTTGCAATATTTGTTTTTCATTATTATTTTTTTGGTTGGATATTTTAGTGTCATTAATTATATCATATTTTATGTTATTTTCTTAAGAAACACCTTAAATAGTTGTATTTTGATAATACTAAAGAAATGTTTGAAATACAATTAAATAATATGTTTGTATGAATACTTTATTAGAAAAAAATGAAAATTCAAAAAACCCGAAAAAATTTGATATTGAAAAATTTAAATTTTATTGGTTTGATTTATAAATTTTAAAATTCGACACAATAATCCAATTATTTACACACTGTGATATTAAAATAATTTATGTAATGCAAGTTTAGATCTATAATTTTTTCTACTATAGTAGAAAAGGGTAGTTCAACATGCTTGCTTCATTATTTAGGGGTATTTTTGTCTTTTCACATTTAGGGGTATTTTTGTCTTTTCAATTTTCTCTAATGGCTAGGTGTCATCTTGTTGCTTAATCAATTTTTGCCCTTTCACTTTCCTATTGCAAGGTGTCTTTCAATGGTGATCTGAATGTATGCATGTGTTCCTCTATGTCATCCTTCTATTTTCCCTCTACTGATATCACTATTTTCACATCAAAGTTCACACTATTTACCAGGTAAGATTAAGCATGTTTCAATTGAGCTTTTTCACTCATCTTTCTTTCATCAAAGTGAAGTTCCAAATTTCATTTGGCTGTGCGAATGTTCCCTTATTTTCCCATTTGAGATTCTTATTGATGTTGGATTATCCTTTTGGTTGGGTGATTAAGTTTGATTTAGGTGTGTGAATATATGAAATTTGATTTGGGTATGTATGGTATGGAGGTTTATGAGAGATGGATTAGAAGGAATAAAGGTTTTGTGCATCAATTGGACTCTATTGCCAATGGAAGAACTATTTTTTAAATTTTTTTTAAAGCTCTCTGCTTTTATGGTGTGAAAACAAGAATGAAATTGGATTTCATTTTTAATATAGAAATGGTGGATATGTGTAGTTTATAAATTTCATTTCTGTGCCTAAATGGGTTTTTTGTTTCCCTTTCAAAGTTTGTATATTTGATTAGTTTTGTGTTTGTTTGAGCCTTTGTTCATATATGAAAAAATCATATATTTTCACATGCAATAGATTTTGGTTGTCTTTTGTTACATGTATAGTTTGATTTTCTTTATCAAAATTCTTTTCAACTTCCTCTGTTCATATATCGGTTTTCCCCATCTGAATTAATTTTCTGGGTTTTTGTGATGTTCGATTTTTCTTGTGTTTTGGAGTCTTTTTTGGTTCTGAAGCTCATCATTTTGTTCAAATTCCAGCTCATGGACCTTAACTACTACTTCTAGAGTTTGCTATCTGTTTGAGTGTGTCACCATAAAAATTGCTACTCCTTTTAGACAATGCCTTGCTGACCTTCTTCAAATTATTATGTACAATAACCATACGGTCTGGACCAAAGTTCCTTGACCAATTCTGTCTGACTATCTCCCAGAATGTCTCATGTTCCACCCAAAAATTCTTAGTTACTCTACTATCCTCTTTGCAATGCGTTAAGAGAGGTGCATGATTAGATCGTTGCTTAATTAAATGTGCCACTTCCAGGTTAGGAAACATACTCATATCTGATTATGCAAACATTTATTCAGTCTTTTAGAAATGCATGTTTCATCTGATCTACCATTCAATCAAGGAGCATGCTACCAGTGAAGTGACTCCCATATCTGATAATTGACATTCTTTTAGGCAGCAAGAAGTCTTCATTTTCAGCCCACCAAACTTATGATATTCATCCACAAGCACATTAAAATCTTCCCTTACCAACCAAGAAGTTCATATATGAGTAGATTGATCATAAAGTGCATCTCAAAGTTCTATTCTACTGTTGGGATGTTGGACCAAATACCTAAGACAGAAGAATTATCCAACATAAAGTTTGGGTCTTGAAAACAAATAACCAGTTTTAACTCATTGTTTGCCAAAAGTGTAATGGACAAATTCATATAGTGTGTTTACTACAGTTCTAGTGAGAATTATGAAAAATGCTTTATTTTTACGGAAAAATCTAAGGAAAGCTATAGGAAATTAGGAATAAGTCCAAATTTTATGCATAACATTGCGTAAAATCTGTTCAAAAAATTGAACAGATGAATGATAAATCAGCTGGAAATTATCAAACCTTATCAAAGGCAAATGTTCTGTCAATCTGCTTATTAGCTATGTTCTGAATAGCAGAAACTTCTCTTCTACCTTCATTACAGGAAATCACAACTGGTGTATGCAATCTTATCTCATCCTCACTCAACGGCCTGTAAATTTTCACCATAGCTACTCCATCAACAGCACTCAATTAAAATCAATAAATACAACAAACTCGAAAGTACATTCATTTTTACTCACTTGCAACGCAAAATAACTTGCACATTTACACCTTTTTCTTTATCATGCTTCCCATTCACATTCCCTCAAGGAGTTCATATATGAGTAGATTGATCATAAAGTGCATCTCAAAGTTCTATTCTACTATCTCTTGTCATTACTAGCATATTTCTGTAATCTGAGTCGATTGTAATGTTAATACCTGGTCCATGTCCATCATTGCTTCATTCTTGTTCACAATTGTTGTTCTTGTTAAATTATGATTAATAATTATATTGCTTGAAAGTTTTAACACTTTTGACTAAGCTTCATTTTTTGTCTATTACCTAGAAAGAAGATAGAATCTTCTTGATTCACATACTACATGTATGTTTAATTTTTTACTTTTAATTTACTCAAATCTGCACTGTGTAAACCGTGTTCTTGTTCTTGTTCTTGAATTCATTGTTGCAGAGACCCTTTTAAGCTCAAAGGCCTTTCCTGATTTTTCGATAAAGGTATGAGCTCTTTCTTATTATGGTTTGAGTTCTTCATTTGACTTGATGTGGGGTTTAATTTCATACTGTTTCGTTCTGTGTAGTTGGTGAGTTGGTAATTTGTTTTGTTGGTTTAATATTGGGGTTACTTTGTTGATTCTGAGTTTAAAGATTCAAACTTTGTGCTTTTTTGTTTTGTTTTAGGCTATTTTTGTGTATTGTTTCTGCTTAGTTGAGCTGCTGTATGAATTTTTTTCCGATCAATATTTTGCATCAGTGTAAAACAATTGCATTTAGCATACATATCAATAAAGCGAGTTTCCACATTAACATCAACCTGAAACCTGAAGGTCCAGCCTGATAGCCCAGCCATGCGGCATTTGCCAAGCCTCAAATGAGGCAAACTGGCACATGCAGCAGAAGGGATGCCAGAGTTACTGTATTTGGCTTTACACCTTTAAGCTGCATCCTTTGAGAAAATCATAGTGCATTTTAAGTACCAATTGAAATGAAACTGTGGATCATTGTAGTCCAAGTAACCACATCTCTATCGATCATCTTCTCAAAAACCGACCTTGATTTATCCATTCTTCCACACTTGATGTACAACCAGTGAGTGAATCTCTCTGCCCATCTCACCGATTTCAGAAAATACTCTCGAGAATGTCCGTTTCGTTTTGGTATGTGTTTAAGTTGATTAATTACTTAAATGTTGTCCTTTTTATTTCTAGATTTTCAATCACATAATGGTTTAAATGGTAATCTAATTTGTTTTCTATTTTATCCACTCAAAACTACTTCTAAATGTGATAAAAAAAGTTTTCGAGAAGGTCATCCATTTTCTAGAGTTCAATGAGATACTCCTAAATCCGTAGGAGTGACTAACATTTCGTCGATTTCGAGATTGAAAACTATAGCTTCTCTTGAATCTAACTTAATTAGTTTTGATATATGTGATAATTTTATGATAACATGCCATCAGAATTATTATTAAATGGTAAAAGTATGCATGGATTATGTACTTAGCAGTTGCTTACATGGCTGCAACATTGCCACGAAAGGGGTATCTAGCACAGAGATATGAAGGGATCTACTTTGTTGATCAACAAACATGGAATGCTAAAATTATTGATTTTTGATTAGCGGACTACTTCAATCCTGAAAAACAGCATCCTCTTTCAAGTCGAGTTGTCACACTTTGGTAAATAGCTCCACAAAGTTCTACAGATTATGAAATATGTGTTGATCTTTGGAGTGCAGGCTGCCTAATGGCTGAAATGTTTACGAGCAGGCCTATTCTGCCTGGTCTGCGATACCAGCCTCACTTTGGAAAAGTTCAAGTGATTTTTTATAGATGAGAGTTAATTACGTAGATCATCCAGAAGTTAATAACTATCAATGTCTCATCAAAATATAATTGATTCAACTTCTTCCAAGGCTTGTTTATGATATAATAGTTGTTAAAAACGCTCTAGGTAGATTCTATAGTCTCCTATACTTGGAGAGGATTATCGGAGGAAAATGAACTTTCAACTTTCTTCACTCTGCTATATACCTATAGTTATAACATGAGGAGGTTTTAAGGCACTTCCCTGTATCTTCTTGGGGGATTCTAAACGTTCTTTATTATCTGATTTCTCTTTATTTATTTTTTCTCTTTTCTGTTGTCTTTGATTCTTTTATTTGGAACTGAAGTGGTAGTGATTGACCTAACAATAATCATTTCATGTGTACAAGTCAATAAGGACTACAATCTTTAATTGGAGTGTCATTGTATTTTTTTCACTTCTGCAGATATAATACAGCTAAACTTGCAAAGGCAATGTCTCAGAGGTACTATCTAATACTTATTTATGGAATCACTTTTTCGAAGGTTACCTATCCTATAACTCCATGAAGTAGTAGTTTGTTAGAGTATCGGGTCAAGTAGTTTGATTGAAACAAAGGTTCATTTCGTTGGATCTTCATTTGCCTGCAAACTTATTTGTCAATGTGTTTTATTCTCATTTGCCTATAACATTACTGAGCATTCTTTACTGAATTTTAAGAAAATATTAAATGAGAAAAGAATGATGTTTACGCTTTCAGCACTACTCCTAAAAGAACACTATTCCTAAAAGAACTGATAGATATTTATAGATTATCCATTAGTTCAATGAAAGATATTAATATCAATATATATATGACAAGTGTGATGGTAGCAAGATTATTCTCCTTTAGATGGTGTGGTTTTTGGGCACTGCTTTGAAATATAATATAGTTCACAAAATTCAGTCCGGTGAATATTGCAACTTTTCATGTTGTCTTTTTTACAGGGCAAAAACATCTTACAAACTAATTCTAAAGGATCTGTTTCATTGATACAGAACACATGTATCTACTTTTTTAGCAAATTACGTGTATGTCATTTTATACACCAAGCCATGCCATTTGAGTCTTCATACTGCTAAAAAGAAATAAAAAATCAACAAACAAATTGTCATTTTTTCTCGTAAGAAAGACATTTGTGAGGCATAGCTTTGGTAGACCTGTCATCTAACATTTTGTTCCTGATAAAGCAACAAAGAATAACTACAACAATTCAATCGAAACAAATATATGATGAACATTAACTCAGTAATACAGTAAGAAATTATCTCTTCCCCACTTTCTTCTTGTTGTCTCTTAGTAGCTGTGTTTTTTACATGCAGGGTGCAGTGAAGGGCACGAACAAAGCAAATAACACATGTGATGTGTGGACAGAGTACTATGACATGGCGTACACTTTTGGTGCTGATAGCATGGACTTTGCTGCATTGTTATAAGAAATTGACAGGTACTTAAATCTTGCAATCACTGATAAATTTTTAAACAAACCAGTACTATACTCAACATTAACTCCTCCCCATAACTATATACTAAATTCATTTTCCATCTTATTTCACAGGTGCTTTCTGAATGATGCTGATTAATAGTCAAAATGCAGCATTATGTAAATATTGTAGATATCCAACCTAAATAACACAACCATGACAACGAACAAAACAACTGCCAACCATATTTTATATATATATACTATATCTATCCATCTCTCTCTCTTTATCTATCTATCTATCTATCTATCTATATATATATATATATCCGACTCATACATTCTATATGTTTTTATCTAACTAACAAAAATCTTTCAATGCTTGCACGGGCCACCTCTACCTAGTTGTACTAGAAGTTTGACATATACCTTAAATAATAAAATCTGTTAGTCGGGAAGTATTAAGAGCCTGTTTGGCTCAGCTTAAAAGCTGGTCAAACTGACTTAAAAGCTGATTTTTGACTTATTTAGCTGTTTGACAATACTCAAAACATCTTATTTTAAGTTAAAAAAAACTTATTTTAAGTCAAAAGTTAAAAGCTGGGGTAGAGGTGCTTTTTTTTTTTAGCTTATAAGCTGTTTTAAGTTGACCACATTTTTATCTTTTTTTTATTAATATTTTTGTACAATCTCCAAATTACCCATATAACCCTAACATTTCTTTCTTCCATTTTTCCCTTTTCACGTTTGACATAACAACTTCACACTTTTATCCAAACGCATAACTGCTTATTTTAAAAATAAGTTTCAGCACTTTTAAAAGTATTTTTTTAAAGCTGCTTTTATTAAGCCCATCCAAATGGGCCCTAATTCTCATAATAACAATATCTAAAATTAGTTAAATTCCACAATTTAAAATACAAAGAATAAGTAGGTTGTCAAGTTGTCATTCTAAAACAATATTTTGATTAAACATTTACCAAGGATAGAAGGAATTAAACCACCTCTAATAATAGGTAATTTTAGGCAATTCAATATCAACTAAATCTTTTAAGTTTGAATTACTTTATCATATATCAATGAAATATTTTTTAAATTTATTAGAAAAAATGAATTAACTCATAAATTAAATTTTAATAAAATATTTCACGAAACTTAAACACATTTTCTACAATAATCATATTTATTTTTATACTTTTTAATTTTCATTATTTTCTGATTGACTTTCCACTTGAGAAATGAGGAAAAAATGGAGCAAAAGAGAAGGGATATAATTAAAATAAAGATTACAACAAAGGAGTGGATATATTTTATTTTGGGTTTATAAATAAAGGAGAATAATTAATAGTTGTAAGTTGTAACTCAAATCCAAAAGGAATATGAAAGGTTGATATACATTGTTTCTTTTTTTCCCAAAGTTATTTCCGAAAATTAAAAATGTGGGAGTGAAAAGCGTAATGTGTAGACAACGAAGAAAGGAATATATTTTCAAAAATTCCGCTTTCTTTCATCTAACAAACAATTCGGAGACTTTGTTTTTTTTTTTTTCAATCCATAGAAGACATCAGCTTCTCCATTGTTAGGGTTTCATCTGTTTCTTCTCTCAAATCAGGTATCTTCATTTCATAGTTTTCAACCATTCTTAACTTCCGTATCCATGTTATGATTTGAAGTTACCTAGTCTAACCAGTTAATACGTGTTATATTCGCTGATTTTCTTTTTATTTGGTTGCTCGATTGATTTTCAGCTTCAAATGCTTTGTTGATTGATGGAATCGATGTAAATTTGGTGAATTTCACGTTGAATTTTGTTTATTGTGATTTTTTTGACAGGTTTGATTGGTCTACTTTGGAGAATTGTGTTGTGGTATGCGATGTGATGATTTAAGATAGGTATTAGGTTCTGGCTTGATTTTTGGATAGAGCTTTGTTGTTTGTGGTTGGAATTTTGGAAGGTTATATAGCTAAGTTTTGCTGGAAATGAGTGTAGTTGGGTTTGATGTGGGAAATGAGAACTGTGTTATAGGAGTTGCAAAGCAACGAGGAATTGATGTAATATTAAATGATGAATCGAATCGAGAGACACCAGCGGTGGTGTCGTTTGGTGAGAAACAAAGGTTTATTGGTGCAGCTGGAGCTGCATCGGCTACTATGAACCCGAAATCAACTATTTCGCAGGTAAAGAGGTTGATTGGTAGGAAATATAGGGAGCCTGCTGTTCAGAAAGACTTGAAATTGCTTCCGTTTGCGACCTCTGAGGGACCGGATGGTGGCATTTTGATTAATTTGCACTACATGGATGAGAAGCATAGTTTCACTCCTGTTCAAATTATGGCAATGCTATTTGCACATTTGAAGCAAATTGCTGAGAAGAATCTGGAAACGGATGTTTCAGATTGTGTTATTGGCATACCTTCATACTTCACAGATTTACAGAGACGTGCTTATTTGAATGCAGCAGAAATCGCTGGGTTGAAGCCATTGCGATTGATGCATGATGGCACTGCAACTGCACTGGGTTATGGTATATACAAGACTGATTTTTCAGCTGGGGGTCCAACAAATGTTGTGTTTGTTGATGTTGGTCATTGTGATACTCAAGTTGTTGTAGCGTCATTTGAACCTGGTCATATGAAGATATTATCTCATGCTTTTGATAGCGCCTTGGGTGGGAGAGACTTCGATGAAGTTTTATTCAGACATTTTGCTGCAAATTTCAAGGAACAGTACAATATTGATGTTTATTCAAATGCTCGGGCTTCTATAAGATTGAGGGCTGCATGTGAGAAACTGAAGAAAGTTTTAAGTGCAAATCCAGAGGCTCCACTTAATATTGAGTGCTTAATGGATGAGAAAGATGTAAAAGGTTTCATCAAAAGAGAAGACTTTGAGAAGCTTTCATCAGATTTGTTGGAGAAGATAAGCATTCCTTGTCGTAAAGCTTTACTTGATTCTGGTTTGACTGCTGAAAGGATTCATACTCTTGAGCTTGTAGGATCAGGTTCTCGAATTCCAGCTATGGGAAGAATTTTAAATTCTGTTTTCAGAAAAGAACCGGGGAGGACAATAAATGCTAGTGAGTGTGTTGCACGTGGATGTGCTCTTCAATGTGCGATGCTCAGCCCCATATTTCGTGTTAGAGAGTACGAGGTTTGTGATGTGAACTATTACAGTAATACTTGTGATCAATATGGCTGAGTTTCTTTCTATTTCTTAGTCGCATTTTCATTTCTTAGTCCCATTTTCATTTAATTGGCCTAAATTAGATTCAAAGTCCAATATGGATAGGTTTATCCCTCTTCTATGGGGTATTTAGTTTTAGTGACCCGAGATACAAGACCTTCTATGCTCTCATTGGCTGGTTTTACTTTACTTTCTCAATTATGGTGAATATGGTTGTGATGTTAGATGAGTCAAGTTTTCCTTCTCTTTGTTTTTCAATTTACTTCTCTTTCTATCGGGAGTTTGAAGTTCTATGATGTAAAAACTCTATTTGTAGAAACGATCTCTTCTATGGCTATAGAACATTCTAGAATATTCGCTGCTGAAATAGTATTCCTGCAGTTAATTGAACAAATATTAGAAAAACAACCTCGAGTAATGAGTGAAAACATGATTAAATGAAAAATTCATTAGACTAGAAAGACCATGGAGAAATTAAGTGACTTTGCTATCGAAATGGACACTCTAGCAGATGCAGATCATGATGCTGATAAACTACTTCAGAAGACATGAAGCATTGCATAATTCTTTGGACTTCAAAGACCATGGAGAAATTAAGAAACTTTTCTATTGTAATGACCACTCCACCAGATCATGAGGCTAATACACTACTTCAGAAAGCCTAAATGTTACTCCGGGGAGCAACATAGTTGGGTGTTAAAAGACGCATAAAATCAAAAGAAATAATTCATTGAGTTATGAGAACCATACATGTTAATAATTGATAAACCAGAGTTGCAATATTCATCGAGGCAGAGAGCATTCTAGAGAGATTAAATTGAATGAAATGAGGACATGACCTAGCAAATTTGTTGACTTAGTCATTCTTTCGGAGTTGGAGCCAGGCAGGGTGACTGCAGATGTCTTTGAAAAGTAAAAATGAGTAGCTAGATCAACCATATGAGCGGTTCCTGTTGATATCGAAATAATAGACTACACTCTTTACTATGTGTTACCACCTTTTACTTCACTACAGTCATTCTGTTGCTAATTTTAGTGTTTCTTTCTTGTAATAAACTAGAAGTACATTTGAAAGAAGTACAAAGAGGTCTTTTTGGGTAGGGGCAAGGCTGTTCATGTTGCTGTTGTTGTACAAAAATGAGAAAGAATTATTGCGCGTTGGGATAGCTTACTACATCTGTGTCAAAATTATGCCTTTTACAGTTTTACTGCTTAAATAGTTGTCATGCATAGGTACCCAAAGCTTAAAATTCATCTCACAACCACTAGCTTGAAAAGAAACAATACAAAACAATGTTCTTGTGAGCTACTGATCTATTCTTGTAAAGCTTGCATCTTCTTGATACCTTTAAATTAATCTACTTCATTTAAAAAAAAATACAAAGCAATATCCAGAGGATAATAGGAACAAAACATAAGTGTACCAAGTCCTAACTCCGGCATGAACATTGTTTAGTGCATGGCGTTTTATTGAGGTATAGTTGTTGGTTTCATCATTATTTTGAGTTCGGAAATCTTTTATTTACAGATTCAGGATTCGTTTCCTTTCTCCATTGGGTTTGCATCTGATGAGGGCCCAGTTTGCACCCTATCAAATGGCGTATTGTTTCCAAAGGGCCATAGTTTTCCGAGCATGAAAGTGCTCACATTGCAAAGGAGCAACAGTTTCCACTTGGAAGCATTCTACACTAACCAGAATGAGTTGCCACCTGGTGTATCCGATAAAATAAGCAAATATACGGTACAGTGCATTTTTCCCTGATAACTAATATGAGAACTTCTATCCTCTAGTTTTGTTTGAGATTTCTAGATGTATTATATAACATTTGATCTAATTTTCTTGATTATGTTCGGAATGATTCTCGATAATTGGATTACTCTAATCTAGTCATAGCTAAAGTTCTAGTTGTTGAGGTTACAACTTAAGATCTCTATGCATTTGATTTTTTCAAAGCCCATTGAACCACCTTTGAGAACTTACTACAGCAGACAATTGTATCATTTGTCACATATTTGTTCTTCTAACCCAAATTAGTTGTCCACTTCCCTTTTTGGTTTGTTTCCAGTAATTTATCCCTTGAAAGAGAAGTTCTTATCTTGATGGATATCTCAATATGTCTGTATATCATATTCCCGAAAAGGTAAGTAGACATCAAAAGAGAAAGAAAAATTCAATAAGTCAACTATGTCTACAGGGAGTATTAGATATTGTACTATTTCATTGTATGTTTAAATAGCTACATGCACTACCCAGTAGCTTTGCATATTTTATGTCGCAATATCTTGGTGATCTTCTCTATTGAATGAGCCCGCTTGAGAAGGTCCTCACTGAACCACTCCCAGAAGCAGTTTTACCTTCCAACATACAACAACATACCCAGTGTAATCTCACAAGTGGGTCTGGGGAGGGTAATGTGTACTTGGGAGGGTGATGTGTACACAAATTGTTTCTGGTAGACTTTTGCCGTCCAATGTGAGCCCTATAAATAAGGCAAAAAAAATTGAACGTAATATCTCTGCTATATTTGGACAATCTAGGGTATAAAACTGAACCACATGTGTTCATAGCTAATGTACATCAGCCAATTTTGTGATTCAAGATTTTCAAAACTAGACATTGCCGGTGCACACTATGTAAACCTTTGATCCGTTGTACAGTTTGGACTGCTACTTCAGTCTCTTGCATTGCAGATTAGCTACAGAGTCGACGATAATTTGCTGGGTTTCAATTTCTCCGGTTTACTTGAAAGGAACTTTCATATCTGCTGTTATTACCTAAATTAGCATCATGCATGAGAAGGTAAAGAAAAAAGGGATGTCATTGGTACGAACGAAATGTAGTTTTGATAAGCTTTATTGTGACTGAATATATGCAGCTGTGATGATTTATCATTAAACGAGAAAAAAATTATCTTCTGATATTTTGGAGGATTAAGTTCTGGTAGTACATTCACTTTTCTAATAGGTAGAATAATATATAGTTGCTCAAATACCAGAAAATGTTGTATCATGATTTGTTATGCAAACAAACATACGTGTACATCTGTCCACGAATGACTTTGTCTCCCAGAAAAAAACACATTTAGGTGGTTTCTGTGACATTAAAGAAAGTGCAGTAAATTGGAAATCATAATTTTGATGGAATATTGTGAGCAGTGTTTAAATTAACATGGTATTGAGGGATGATGCAAAAAGATGTATTGGTGTTAATTATAGCAGTGATGCAACTTCCTTATTTTCTTAAATATTTGGCTATCATAAGTTTCACTATAAACTCTTTGACCATGAGCGTTATTGGTTTAGTACTGTCAAATGTTGTACTTATCCTATAATTAAAACATGTTCTCAAGGCCTATTGTTCTGCCCTTGCAATTTCATGGGCTCACAATGAAAACTTGTGAAACACCCTTTTCTGCTAAAATGTTCATAAAATTTATTACTGTACATTATAAAATGTGATGAAGTTGCGAAACACCCTTTTTGGTTGCCCTTCTATACTGTTTCAAATATCAGTTAGATTCTCTCGCTGTCTAACTTGGATAATTTCAAGGTTTAAAATAAAAGAAGGAAGTGGCATTCAGGGTTTTAAATAAGGTCATTTGGGCCTTTTGCTTTCAGGAAAGTTTTTGGACATCTGAGAGACTGACTAACACCGAGGTCATATTGGTTTTTGTTGGTGTTACACGAGAATTGGCAAGTTACTGGTCAATGTTTGTGAGTCTTTTAAGCATGCTAAGAAAATGCTCTTCGGGCTAACTCGATCCCAAAGATAGCTCATGAGGTGAGGATTTTTTTTTGTTGTTATGGTGAGGACTGCCTAAAGCCATATAATGAGACAATCAGTTCTCTCAACCAATGTGGATGCCTTAACATCCCTTTGCACACTATCTTGGATATTTGGAGCGTGATCAACATAATATAGGGGTCCAACACTAGGTAAACCAGGAGTAGAGATGAGTCTGAGTCTAATTCCAAGTCTAATACCAGGTTGAATTGTCTGACCTCATTGTTTAAAAGCTTAAGTTATTTGGGAAAACATATTTTTAGTTGCTTAGTTATATTATTTTTCTACACAGTATAAACAACAATAACAAAAGAAAAGAAATCATATTCGTTATAAAGGTTTCAAAATTTTCAATTGAAGGACAGGAAGATGGCTTTCTGCTAGCCTATTTCCCTGAAAGCACACTAACGTGTTGCATGTTAAATGTTATTCTCATGTGGAATATGATCAAAAGACGCCTTTTATTTGGTCTTATTATGCTATCAAGTATCTACCGGGATCTAATCTTATGCTGTAAAAGGAGTTATCCGATGACTGTGTCTTTTTGAATCTCTTTGGTCGGTGAGTCTAGAAGTTGAGAATATTTGTAGCATTAACTTTATTTCTTCCTTGCTTTAGAAGGCAGGTTATGCACCTTCTGCTTCCTTGCTGAATCTCAATGTGCAACAGTTTGAGGAGAATGCTTAACTGTAAAAATAATTAATTTCAGCAGTTTTAGAAACTCAAATTAATGCCAGAGATATGCTGTTGCCAAGTGTCTTAAGAATTTGCAATTAATGCTCTCATCCTTGATGCCAAGTTGACTCCATCAATTTGTCAGTTAATCTCACTCTGTTCTTATTTTTTTTTCAGCTTGGCCCATTCCAGGTTCCTCATTCTGAAAAAGCAAAGGTCAAAGTCAAAATTCAATTAAACCTCCATGGTGTTGTTACAGTAGAATCGGCTTGGGTAAGTGCCAATTTTCATAGTATGGAAATTCAACTGCATTTTGTCATCCCTTCAGCTGATTAAACTTAATTGAATATGTAACCCAATGTTGTTACTGCATTATGTCATCTCTTCAGCTGATCAAAGATCAATCAAGTCATTCTACGTCGGAAAATAATATTGATACTTATGCAGAAAATATGGAGGTAAGCACTCGTGAAGCTTCTGTGTCATGCATAGTTCTGATGATAGTTACTCTGCACATTTTGCTGTATGATACTGATTAGTTAGAACTTATAGTATCTTCTGGTAATTCTTGAAATCACTGCTTAATTTGCGTCCCTTTTTTGGTTCTGTTTGGACCTCAGTATTAAGACTTAAGAGGATTGGTGGTTTTCTTCTTCTTGTTTGTTGGGCACTCAAAGTTACTAGTCGGTTCTCTCTAAAAAGAATGACACAATTACTATTCGGGACTTGAACATTTCTTTCTTTTGTTACTAAGTTGTCAAACATTTTAAATATTTTTTTACTATAAAAATTGTAGATCATTATTCTATTTATGTACTGTTTAAATATATAATCTTATTTAAAAGAGATTAATCTTGCACTTCATCCCATGGAGATTGTTGGTTGAGTTGTTAAGGCTCGAGTAACAACCTGAATATCCTAGATTCAGATTCAGGCTTAACACTCAACATGAGCCCATCTGTTCTAGCCTGTGTGAGCACTGAGTAGGACTACCCCACACTTATGCTTGTACGCTATCATAGGTTGTTCTGTGATTTAGTCGAGTGTGAAGCTGGTTTCAGCACCATCATTTGAAACAGTGTATAAAAGATAGATTCATCTTGTTCTTTGCTTTTCCTGGCCAAACGAAGTAGTCCTCCTCTAGGACGTTAACCTTGTGTAATTTCAAATGGTCGACAACAATCAGAACCCAGGGAACAAATCCTCAAAGATAGCAACAAGTGGCTCAATCAACCTCAATCTAATACCTGACTATACTTCTATACTTGAATTTGCTGAAGATATCTTTAAATAGTTGGTAGAAAATTTTGAAGAAACCATATAGCCGTAGACCTAAATAAATTATAAAATAAAGTATCCCCTCTCTAATTGCTTATGTTTTTAAATGAGGCGGTTTGCATAATTCAACATGACTATCATAATTGGAGTCGCACTGCCACCCCTTAAGGAAAATATTTCCGTGTGCTCGACTCACATAAAAGAATCAGATCTGCATGTGAGGTGGCGTGCTGTAGACCTAAATAACTGTAATAAATAAAACCATCCTTGTAAACTTTTAGATTCGATAGTCATATAACTCAAAGAATAGCACTTCGTATTCAAATTAATTAATATAAACTAGTATATAGTTGTCAGTTTATCTCTTTGGAGTAGGGATGACAATGGGGCGGTGCAGGGCAGGCTGGTGTGGGTTGACCTTAGCCTGCAAATTTTTTAATCCGCCCCGCCCAACATAGCAACAGTTTTCATTTTCAACCCGCCCCACATTATTTTTTAATATTTTCTTTTTATAGTTATGTTTGATACTAAAAAAAATCATGAAAATAAATTCATTTTTTCATTAAGTTGTATTAATTTAATAGGATAGTGACTTAAATTTTTACTTTTTAGAGGTCAATTGGAAAATATGCAAGAAATTGTATTATTTTTATTGAACCATTTTCATTTATTATCTTGAATATTGTAGTAGCTTTAATGAATTTATCTTAATAAGTAATGCTCTATCAATCTATAACATGTAAAAAGTTAAAATTAAGTTTGAACTCACGTAAAAATTATAAAATGACATGTATCGCAATCGCCCCGCCCCATATTAATTAAAAAAATCCACTCCAACCCACCTCGCATCCGACCTGTCCTACATAACCTTAAACCCGCTCCACCCCATTGCCATCCATACTTTTGAGGTTGTAGACTTTTCTGTTAAAAGAAAGAGTCCTCAAGATTGGATGGGCTAAGTTAAGATTTAGAATGGAAGATGGGCGGATGGGGGTGGTAGGTATCTGGAAGTTGTGCGGTGACCTTATAATTTTTTTCAAAAAATATTTAATGAAGACCATAACACAATTTGTTTTACTCAAATTTTGTCAGAAACAACCAGACCTAAAATTGAAATAAATTGAAGTATCTGTACCAAGGTAAGTATTATTAAAAACACTGATGACACCAAGTAGGAAATGTTCCTAACTCAGAGACTGTTTTAGAAAGGCTCTAACAATAAATTAGATCCCAATGGTCACATACTTATACATACAAGTCATTAGTGCTAGACTGCTAGTAGAATATATGCTTTTGTGATTCGTTCAACAAGATACAAGATACTTGATCAATTCAAGTGCTCTATTTGACATTTTTTATATTTTTTGGGCTACAATTTCTTTTACTTTCTCAAAAAAAAAAAACCCCTTCTAAAAAACAGTACAATTTTTTCTTACGAAGATAATGATTTTAAAATATAAAACAGAAGGATTCAAGCTAGTGAATTTTGAAAAATATATATAGTTATTTTGATGATTGACCATCGTACTCAATCAGTAACCATGTTTTAAATGGAGGTTTTGACCTTTTTATGACTGAATTATTTACACATGCCTCACACTTTGTTTTTACTTTTTTGTCATGGTTGCTAGAAAGATTCTGTTTTAAAATTATTTAGAGCTAAGGGATCAGTGTGGTTCATGTTGCTTCGTCTCATCTCTAGTAATTAAATGGGCTTGGACTTTGAACAATTAGGCAAGATTTATGATAAAGTGGAAAAAGTTACCAAGAGCCTTGGTGCTGGTCTGGAAGACCATGGAGGAATCATGTATGGAATCTGCATGTGGAAGTGGTGAAATTGCATTTTCACTCCTCCTCTTTCTTATTGATGTTGCAGTGTTTCCATTACTTTAGTTAGGGCATACTCTAGGGTAATTGATTATTTATTTTCCTTGAAAAGATGTATACTTATCCGATGTCAGCTGATTATAAATTGGTCATAAACTAGGACCCGACACTAGGACATCAGTGAGTTGTTATTCCATTTGTGTGCTATTGTTCTTTGGTTAAAAGGCTTTTGCCTATTTCACATGTGTACCTGGCTACTTGTGAATGGAGTCCTGTGGTTCTTTATGCAGGGAGATGATACAAGGAAAAGTAAGGCCGTTAAGAGACAGGATATTCCTGTCAGTGGAAGTGTTGATGGTGGAATGACCCTCATGGAGCTATCCCAAGCTAAGGAAAAGGAACGCCAGTTAACGGAGCAAGACATAAAGGTGGAGCGAACTAAAGACAAGAAAAACACCCTGGAGGCATACGTCTATGAAACTCGTAATAAGGTATGACATCAAATTTTAAGTCTCATAATTATCTTTGCTTGGAAGACTTTAATTCAAATGATCTGTTTCACACTTTTAAGCCGAGAATATGTCTTTTGAGGATATAACATTTTTATCTTTAAAATATAAAATTTCAAACTGAAGCAGTAGGTTTAGGAGTGATGAATGCATCAATGTGAAATTTTACTTTCTGATTATCCTTTCCTTTACAAGTCATGTTCTTTCAGTTTTCAGTGGGCTGTTGAATTTGGCAGTATCACTTGCATTTATAACTTGTCCTTCTGCATAATTTTGTTTTGCAAATACCACTATGTGACACTCATTACTTTTAGACACATGTTGGAGCTGATACATACTACTTTATCACTATTTAGTACCTTGTCATTTTGTTATGGAAGTTTGTGTCCTTTTCCAGATAGTTTCAGATACACCATTTCTTTAAATTTTGGTTTTGGTTTTAATTTAGTTGTTGTTATCACTTATCAGTATCTGCCCCATTTCCTTTATTTTATGCATCTATTTGAATAGCTTTTGAATACCTACCGGAGCTTTGCTACGGATTCGGAGAGGGAGGGTATCTCTTGTAATCTACAACAGACTGAAGAATGGCTCTATGAAGATGGAGATGATGAGTCTGAACAAGTTTATGCAGAGAAGCTGGAGGATCTTAAAAAGGTTCTTGTCATTTCGTATTAGTTGAAGAATTTAGTTTTTCTTTTCCAGAGCTTATTTTGAAAGTGAGCAACCAACCTTATATTATTAGATGGTGGACCCTGTGGAGCATCGATATAAGGAAGAAGAGGCGCGGGCACAAGCAACACGACATCTATTAAATACCATTGTGGAACATCGAATGGCTGCAGGATCACTTCCAGCCAGTGAGAAAGAAGCTGTATGACCTTGTCTATGTATAACATGCTACAGGTCCTTGTTACATTGTATTAACCTGAATTTTTTTCTTTGCAGGTCACTAATGAATGCCATAAAGCAGAGCAGTGGCTTCGAGATAAATCCCACCAGCAGGAGACATTGCCCAGAAGTGCTGATCCAGTATTGTGGTCTACTGAAATCAAGAGAAAGACCGAGGCTTTTGAAGCGTATGTTTGTCATCTTAAAAACCTGCCTAATTAACATGAATCTTGTTTCCCCACATGGTTGTTAGACATCTTATGATTGCGTGTTTTCTGTACTTCTTTCACCCACAATTAGATTTTCGCACTGTCTACAAAATCATACTAGAACTACTAAGTCTGAATCCCTTCAACATCCATTTCAATCCCTAAAGAACTAGATGTGAGTGACTTTTGAATTTATCCCTAATTTTGATGTAGAAACACTCAACCAAAATCCCTTTTAGTAGTTTCACATGATAAAGGTTGTAATCGAAGATAAGTGTGTGCGTGTGAGTATACATAGGTATACATACCCATCCAGACACACATATATAATTCCACGTGTTTTTCAGACTTAGAGAACATATTTCTCATTTTAAACTGCCTACACTTATCACATACACTTAGAAGAGGCATCAAAGCTAAGCAATTCTAGCCTTACTCCTTAACAAAGTAGTTAGAATTTACTACTGATTGGTTCTTGAATTATGGTTAAGACCAAAATTAGAAGATCCTAGCAAGTGTCTCTTGAGAGAACTGCAGCTTATTAGTTTTGCTGCATCTCGTGTTTTTGAGCATCAACTTTTTCTTTGCCTGATGTGCTACAATATTGTGACACACATTTCAGGATGTGTAAGCATGTAACGAGGCACAAGTCATCGCCCCAAAAGACTGAGGATGGTTCAGGTTTAAACCCCAGAAATAAAAGGGAAGATGGGATGGATGTAGATTAAACTGCATCAGAGACAAGTATGATAGCAGGCATGAGAAATGATCAGATTAGTTGTTACTGAGGCTGGGGAAACACCAGCCACTAGAGGCCTATTGCGAGTTATCTCCGGTATTTAAATCAAATCACATTCTCTATTTTGGGTAGAATCATTTGTTATTTACTCAAATTTCACGTTTCTCGTGATGTGTTATCTTGTGGCCTCAAAATTAATTATTGCAGAGTTTCTGCTGCTATTGTAGTTTTTAACAGCTTATAGGAGGCAGCACATTCTGTACTTGGATATTGAGAAAAAACTAAAGATTTTTCATCCGTTTTGTTCTGATTGTTCTCTATTGTGAGTAGCGCAACAGCCTTAGGGGGTGTTTTGGTTGCGGATAAAGTTAGATAGGAATTGTAATGCAACAATTGTAACACATGGATAAATAATCATTTCATTATCTGGTGCATACGTATTCATAATTTTTGGCAAGTTATGTGAGGTGTTTTATACCCGTAAAGACAAGTTATCCCTTGTTGGACCCGGTATACTGCAATTGTTATATAAATTATATCTTTTAGTTATATTGAAGCAAAACGTTAACCAAACGCATGATAACAACTATAATACCAAGTTTATATTAGGAAATGCTTTTCTAATTCTGGTAACCTTTAGCATATGCAATTTTTATTCTCTCTTATTATGCTCTCATTTTCTCAGATGCTTCTCGTATCAATTTGATTGCACATTGTTTGTCGCAGAATTGAAGTTGACATCACCCTTTATAACACAATCAACCAAGAAACGTGCAGATACAAATTAAACAATGGTTTAGATACATTTCCTTTTTAATTCAACCATATCTCTTTGTTTACTTGAATCGAATATTTTGAATATCAGCTAAAGTAGAAAACTATTAAATCACTTAATATTTGAATAATTACTTTCATCTGTTTTCTCGAAAATCAGAAATAGTAAATTATTTCATAACGGATTTCAATTCTCTTTTGGTCGATACGCTTATGTGAACTGTTGTTGACTTCTTCGCCACCTTCATTTCTTGCTTAGAGGTTCTTTTACATTCTCCCATTTGTCTAAACGTTCTTTAGCTTTCTCTACCTGAAAATTAAAAAAAAAAATTACAAAAAAAGGGATCCAAATTTATTTACAAACTTCTTTGTGCATCCCAAGAACTATTGACTTATTAACTTTAGAAGTCATTCTCCGTCCGTCCACTTTCATTTGTCCATCATACTAAAGTCATTTCTCAATGTTGAATTTATTATATTTCCAGAGTAATAAAGTGAAATTGTCATTTTATTTATTGCTCCTTAAAGGTTTGTTAAATTAATATTAGAGAAGCAAAAACGGACAGAGTCAGGCAGAGAGAGTAGTTGAGAAGAAGTGAGTTAGGCACCTCTTTGTTCCAATCTGTACGGAATGTGAACCAAATCAGAATGAAGGTTTGCATGACAGTCCCTCCAATCATCCCAGTCCATATACCCTGCCATTTAATTTCCAATTAAAAATTAATACACGTTTATATTATATGTGTGTATATTATAAAATATTTAGAGATATAATATAGAAGGTTGTGTGTAATTGAGAAACCTTAGCACCAAGGTCATATTTGAAGCCAAGAAGACATCCCAATGGAATTCCTACACCATAATAACACCCCACATTCACGTATGCAACAAATGCCTGCCATCCACAACCAACAGCAACACCTGAAAAATTCACAAACAAACTAAAGTATTCTATCAACTTCTACAGATTCTTGTGTGAAGTAAATATGGTATTATTAATTACTACCACTTTAATTTATCTACAAAGAATAAATATTTTCACATGAACTTTGTCAACAGGAAAAATATTAGCGTATAAATCAAGGAAATTAAGAACAAGTGATAGACCTTACCAGACAAGACTGGTTGAACGCCATTAAGAATAAGTGTGACAGCTAAAAAAGGGCACAAATCAGAAACTGCATTGGCCACAATTTCACCCTCAGTGAATGCATAGCTGATAACATTGCGCAAACATAGCACAACTATAGCTTCCACCACAGCTATGAGAAATGAAATTAACGTCACCACAAACACTGAGAATGCTGCTGACTTTGGATGTGCTGCTCCTAGCTCATTGCTCACTCTCACACTGATCAAACAGTTTAACTCACAATATATATAAAAGTGTCTTGTACTATATATCATTACAAGTATGGTTTTGTAACTTGCACATTATCATGACAAGTTATCCATTATAAACACATAAAATTATACCTAGCAGCAGCATTGAATCCCACTGAAACCATGAACATCAGCCCATTCACTGCCATGCTACAAAAATAAATATAAAAAATAGTTAACTTTTCAGGACAACAGAAGCGGATCTACCAAATCATTTCTTCTTAATGATGAAGGAACAAGACTCTGTATATAATATATAGTTCGAGCCGAAGACAACAGGTGAGAAATGAGAATACAAGATCAAGTCATAGTTAACTAAAAACTCTAAGTGGTATTTGTAATATGATATATAACTAACTAGTGTTGTGAGATCATGAATAGAATGTAGTTCTTTGGTAGCACACAAATAAACAGTTAAGTACAAAATCTCACCAAACTGAGATAGAATCCAATGCAAGCTCAGGATGCTTGAGTAAACCTGAAAGCAACACTAGAATTTGAAAATACCATGTCTCCAAACACAACATAACAGCTGAAGCAGCCGATAACTTCACAAATTCCCATAATCCTCTAAAGGCCTCCCATCGAAAACCTGTCCAAGTATTCTTACACCTTTCACTTCTCAATATGTATATAAACTGAGCTGACACAATAATCCACCAAGAAAGACTCAGCACCAGTGATGCCCCTATCAATCCCAGTCCAATTTTGTATACAGCAATCCAACTCAGCAATAAGTGTGCAAACAAAGTCCCTAGTGAAATATAGGCACTAGGTGCTACAATACTCTGAGATTGCAAGAACTTCTGTATGGGGAAGTTCACCGCGTAAGCGAATATTTGAGGGATTAGACCATACACAAATACTGCTGCTTCTGATGCAACTAGTTTCGATTCACCAAGCGCGAGCAGTATGTTCTTGGAAAATATATATACCACAGCTAGTGGGATGCCTGTTATAGAAAGTACTATTGTTGATCTTTGTAGGTAAACTCCTAGCATATCATATCTATTAGCTCCATATGCTTGTCCACAAAGAGTTTCCACTGCACTTCCCATTCCTAGCTGCAATCAATAAACGAAAAAAAAAAGGTTTGAAAAGTTATACATGTGATATTTTTTTGTCATAAAAAAGTACTCTGTTTCCCCTGTTTTAGCATTCTCAAATTCTTAACTAACTAAAAAGGTAAAAGTTTTAAAAAATATATAAGCAACATATTGCCACAAGCATTTCATTGATGATGAAAAATAATACCATAAGTCCATAAGCACATAATTGGATGCCTTGATTTCCAAGAGAGGCTGCAGCAAGCTGAAGGTTCCCAAGTTGACCCGAAAAGATTCGAGTAGACATGGACATAGCATTATTGATCAAGTACACAGCCACTGCAGGTGCTGCAAGTCGAAACAGTAACTGGAATTCGATCCAAAAGGCGGACCTAAGTCGTTGAAAGTAAGGTAATTGGAAATCGGATAGCACCTCCTCGAGCTCAGAGCTAGCCCCATGAGCAGCCAATAAAGGCTTCTCAGCTTCAGACTCCATAATTCTTCCCATGCTAAGGTTCAAAGTTGAATGAAATGAAAGTAACTTGTAGCCATATAAATAGCAGATGAAGCTGTCGTTTCAACGTTTAATGTGACGCAATGAAATGTATATATATATATAATATATTGTCATTTTGTGAAAGAATGTAACTAATACATAGTATGTTACAATCAGTATATAGTTGGAGTTGTTAGATGGAATCTGTAAAGATACTTATCCTTTGCAGTACTTAAATCAAAACAAAACAAATGCATTACTCTTCCATATGAAATTACATCATTTTTCTTTTATTAAACAACATGAGAAAACATTGTGGACGTAAAACGCCTTTTAATTAATCAATCGATCAATCAATCAATATTTTTCGATCAAGCGGTAGAATCTATACCATATACTAATGAACATGTAGAATTTGAAATTATCGTATCGTTTAGGCATATAATATAAATGCATATTATGTCTTAATCAGTATAGTTGGAGTTGTTAGATGGAATAATTAAAGATAAAACTATTTGTACAGGAGTTGTTGATATATATCACAGATATCAGATGTACTTTATTAAGAGGAAGATAAGAAATGAATAATTATGAAATTATTTACCCCTTTTTCTTTTCTAACTTCCTTTCCGCTAAATACTGCTTCATTCTTTCTATTTTATTTTTAGTGTATTTGACTCGATATAAAGTTTGAGAAACTAAATATAAATAAAGATAAATATTTGTCAGAACACTGCATTCACGTCTTGAGTTTTCGATTATGGGGTTCAGGCAATACTTGTAAAGAGTTCTTTTTAAAGGCATAATATATAAACGTTCACTTCTATTAGCATATACGCCCTTCAATTTTGAGTGTGGATAAATAGACACTTAAATTTACGTAGAGTTGAACAAGTAGACATACGGGTGGACCTACCCTTTCGTTGGAAAATTATATGGGGTTAAATTTTAGTTCAATAAATATAAATACATGAATTGACACCTCTTGAATTAAATTAAAGGTTTAGTTTATTGGTTAAGGGTTTGCACTTTAAAAGGATCGTTTTTAATCACGAAGTATTGTCTCCAATTTAGCTAGAAGGAACCTGTAATCTTCAAAGAAAAAGTGAAGTTACTGGTCCTCATATTAAAGAATCACATTCCACAATGATAATTATTGATAGAAATGCGAAATTAGAAATTTCTTTGAGATATTTCTAGATGTATAACGAAATTATCTTTTTTGAAGAAAATATTATGATCAAACCAATTTTTTTCCCTTTTCAAACACAACCTTTACATGCATCAAATTTTATTTAACCCTATGTGCAAATAACATCTTGCTTCATCAAGGTTGAGTGAAAAAGGCTTAATACAATAGAATGGTTCATGCTCTATGAATTTACTACCTAGTTTGATAGATTGGTTGCTGGTAGTAAATATTAACTTTCCATGCACAACACATGTTTTTGATACCTACTTTTGGAGCCACTACTTGAATTGAGAAAAGTAGCAAAGAATTCTTAATCAAATCCAAATTAAAGGAGAAAAAAATGGACAGCATAGGAGTGGGGAAAAGGTAATAGAAAAAAAAAAGTCAAAAGATCGATTAATGTCAATATCTATTATTGCACAAAATATCAAACAGGTAGACCAAAGTAGTACCTACATAAAATCTCTTTAATTTTTTTTTACTAAAATATATAATTGATGTTTATTTAAAAGAAAAATATTCGGTGTTCATTTTTTTACTATATATTATTGGTGTCTTACCCCTTTACTCTATAGTGTATCAATATGTAAAGTTATACAAATTTTCCCTTATTTTAATACTTGCGATTGAAAAGGGAAAAAAGTTAATAACGCAATCCTCAATAAGCTGCCAAATTAAAGAATGACAAAACTAAGGTTCTATAATATTATTTGATTAAACAGAAAACTTGTTATGTCATGCTAAAGCCTCACTAGACAAAACAAAATAATTATATACATAAGAAAAGGTTGGTAGTTATGATAACATATCATAATACCTTATTTTAGGATATAGAAAGATCACTCTATAAATAATAATAATAATAATAATAAAAATAAAAAATAAAAGATTAATACGAACATGCAGCTACAAGTTAGACATAAAATGTAGTTATTTTTAATAAATAACATATTTATAGCTATTGAACTTCAATAATCCTAAAAATATAGTTATTTTTGTAAGTTGCTCATAAATAATTACAGATGACATTTTTTGGAAAAGAAATAACTATTATATATACTATTTCAAATTCTGAAATGAAGTAATATATCATATGCTTCCTAAGGCATCCACGACGAAAATATAATTTCCTTTTAATTTGCGTGAATTGGAATATCATCTTTTTATAAGTGGAACGGAAAAATAGCTAAATGCATCTTAATTTTAATGCCAATTATCATCTTTTTAGAAGTGAAACCAAAAAATAGCTAAATGCACCTTAATTTTAATGTCAATTACCAACTACGTAACAATATTTCATGGTTTTCTATTACCTTCTGTATTAGATTAAGATGAAATAAATAATCTTTTAAATTATTAGTTTACTTCTATTTGAGGCCGGCTTTGTCTTCACCATTATTATATTTTGGCCAAAAAAACAACTTTTCAAGAAAATTTTTTTGATGGATCCAATGGACTGCCCAATGAAATGTTCATATTTTTTTTTAGGCAGTTTCATTCACTGCACCATATTATGTTAGCCAAGTAATTGACCAAGCAGCATTTAAACATCTCAATGGGACTTTCATTATTAGATTGTTTTATTTCTCAATATTTATTATTGTATTCGTTTTTACTTAACCAAAATAAAAAAAAATCGAGAATAAATCATTCACAAATCCTCTAATCTTTTTCATACACGTTTTTGTGGGTTTAACAATGATGAGTAGGGGGTATCTCATAAGATTAAGTTGATAAATAACACTTAAAAATCTTATATATGGTCCCTTGAGTAGTTGAGTTGAAATGAATGCTCCTAATATATATAATTATATATGATACTTTTGAGTTTTATTACCTACCACAATTGGCCATCATGAATGAATGCAGAGATCCCACACCTCTATTATTTTTGCCAATTTTACTTTGTTATGTGTACCGCAATTCTTGAATTCTTTGAGCCATTACTTTTCAAAATCTAGACTATTATTTTATTATATGTTTGATGATATTGGAAGGACACAAAAATCCAAAAAAGACAGTCTACTAAGATCTCAACACATTTCTTAATGATTTCTGATATTCTCTTATCATGACTATTTAAAAATTAAAGAACATATTATTTGGACAACAAATCCAATTATGACGTCAATTAAATAAATAAATTATGAGTAATTGAGAAGATCATCTTCTTTAGGCAAGAAGCTTTACAATCAAGAAAACTATATTATTAGACCTACATTTATATCATATATGACATTATTTTTGCTACCAGATTTATTAAAATAGGGAGAGAGGCAAATGAAATTGGGAGGGAGATAGTCAAGTTTCTCAGTCACTCAAATACATGCGAATTACATTCGATACGTATATATGATATAATTTACATGCATCTCGGACACCAAATACATATGAGAGTGAGTGAGACTTGTCTATGTATTTCATATATATGCAAATCCACTTGAATACAATAAATTTAGAATAAATTACACCTAATATTATCTCATGTATTCTGAAATATATGTATCTGAACGTATATGAAAATACATCAAAATTTAATAAAATTTAATATATTAAAAATTAAATTACATCCAAATAATTAGTTTCTAAATTAATGAAATTAGTTTCCAACCATATAACCAGATGCGCTCAATGGGCTTGTCCCATTTTTCTATGAGAGGGGATCGTCCAATTCACTTCACATCCTTGATGTGTTGACGATTGGAAACAAAGCCCAACTTACATTGACCAGCAGTACATATTGCTTAACAGTAGTCTTAAATGAATAAGTTTCTCGAGTGACATTTCACACTGATCGTATTATCTCTGCCCCTCACTTGGACCATGACTCCCCCCCCCCTCCCCGCCACAACCTCCTAACCCATCCTCACACCCTAACGTTTAAAATTTTTATATTAATACTCTAGGATTGTTATAAAATCAAGCTCATGGCAATATAAATATAAAGAGATGAAGACAAGAGGAGTAAGATGGAAGATAAGACTGTCTTCTTATTCAAGTGTATGCAAATCTCATATGTATCTATATTACAATAGTGAATGAACAATCCTATTTATAGAGTGAGAAATCACTCCAAAGGTCATCATATTAAGTATCATAATAAATAGATACATTCTTATCCAAAAAGGTTGATGTAACCTAGTGAATTTGAATGGCTGTTCATGTACCAACCTTATGGACTATCCACTCATTCAATGAATTTATAACAAGGATTAATTAATTCTTACTAATCAAATACTTGAAAATAGGTAAAAAGAAAAAATTGCATGACCTTTTCAGACAAACATTTTCTAAAATAATATCTTTTGACTAAAAAATATCCTCCATATCAAACATACATTGCAGCTGGAATCTTTTCTTTTTGGTGATTTGTTAGATTGATTAAAGATTGTGTCGCTTAATTGGGTATAACTCATTTATATTCTTATTATATATACTCCAAAAGATCAATTTAATGGCTATCTTTGAGTGCTATTTGATCATTAGAAAGTAGATGCGCATCAATATAATCTTATCCCTTCGATTATTCGTTCTCCTTTTTCATGATTCCCTTTCAAAATGTATTTTCGGGTGTCCGTTTATTGCAAATTTGTAAATTATACATACCAATTGAGAAAATTTACAGCTAAATATTCCAAAGGATAACAACTGTCGATTCTCCTACGGTTTCAATTTTGGAACTTAGAAACTTTTTCCTCTATTCTGCGCATAATAATCTTTTTCTTGGACACTGCTAGTTTTTCTTTTACTGATTGATTCTTCGTTTGCGTGAAGATAAAGCATATTTTTGCTCCACTTAGTCACCTGGTTTACAATTTTGATCAACAAAATCGGTATCACTTTATATATATGTGTGAACAAATTATTCAAACTTAGCTGTTGTTTGAGGTGGATTCTCAAATCAAATTAAAAAAGTGTTGTAATTTGCAAGT